TAGATACATGAATTAATTACCTATAATTTTTTTTATTTTTTTTTATAAATCTGACCTGCCCACAAGGAGGGATTCAAAATGACAACTTTTTCAAAAAAAATTTACTTTTTCAACTTAACTAACATAAACATGTATAAAACGTGTGGAACAAATAACATCTAGCGTTTTAGAGTCAATAACTTCCACCAAAGCATGTAATAGACGTTTTTAGGCTCACTATCAATGACACTCCTTTTCTAATCATTTATTTAAGTATAAGAATCCCACATAGTCAATAAGGAGAAAGCCTCTTACTTGAGCAAATACTCCTTATTCGACTTGGTCCTTTCCACAGGGATACCGCAACATATACCTATAAATTGTTAAGTAATAGTTAATATGATTAGTAAAGATCAAATTGGTTAATTGTCTGTACAAACGCGTTTAATTAAATTGCGTTGCATAGTGTCGTAATCCCCTCTTTCTCATATCAAAATACTTACATCATATCTGCGAATACAATTTATTTGATCAAAATTCATTGACGCTTACTCTTTATTTGTACCAATAAAAAACTTAATGTTAAAGAGTAACAAAAAAAAAAAATGAATATGATATTTTTAAAAACTATGATGGTTTTCATATCTCATAATTTATTAAAAATTAGTTGCTTGAACAATATTTTAAATCGTTTTATCTCCTCACCAAGTTCAAATTTTTCAAGTGAAAATGTAATTATCATGCATGTCTTGAAAAATGATAAAATTAAATGTTTGGAAGTTAAGTCAATGATTTCATGTTAGAAAATCTTTGCATATAGATAACAGGTGGATATTGATGTTTTAAATTTAAAAATTGTTATAGTTTCTCCTATATTAGTTATTGCGTATACATTTTTTTAGATTAATTTTAAGTAGAATATAATTTATTATTAGTATTTCATTTACTATTTATTTTTATATTTAGTACTAGATAATACTACTATTACTAACAGATAAATAACGCCTGAAACTTAAATGTTATTTTCTTTAAGAATGTTTAAATAATTTGACTCTACTTTTTTTTTAAACTATTTTGGAATAAGCTTTTGTTCATATATTTTATTTCATTCAGTGAATATTATGCTACCTGTAGTGCATGGCTGGTATTAAAAATAGACAACATAATAGGTACGCTTCATGAACGTATGTCTTTTTTTATTATTCGTTTGAATTGTGCGTCACGTTTTCTTTGAGAAAAACATAAAAAGCATATACTTATTAAATGTGCGGGCATAAAAATTGTTACTTTTGTAATAATTTAGAATCTGCACTCAATATAATTGAACTTTCAGTTAATATTAATAATGTAAAAAATTCTTAGCTCAATTTGTATTTGTAAAAAAAAATTGTTCATCTTCAATAGTACACGATAATAGTAGCAGTTTTAATTAGTTCCCAATTATAATAAATAGTTAAATTCATAATAACTATAGACTTAATTCTAAGTTCTAAAATTGTACTAACATTTTTAAAGAGATAGTATCAATAGGCGATGCTTGTCCTCCAAAACAGACAATAAAATTAACATATTCTTAGAAATAGCCACATAGTTTTAAAAATGTATAGTCAAAGTGTATAGAACTAGCACATAATGTACAAATCAAATTAGTAATCGGATTTTACCAGAGTAACATTATAATACGTTACGATTATAACACAAGTTGTGACAGTACGAGTGCATTGCAATGACAATTTTGTGACGTGCATATTTATAAGCGTATCTGATAAACTTGTTCTATCAACATCAACTGATGAGAGACTTAATTTACATTTTATCTTCATATTGTAAATCTAGTTTTATATTACTTTACAAAAGTCAACTTAAGTTATTTTCCTTATTTATTTAAATATATTTCGATAAAGTATATGAAATATACTTCATAACGTTAAAAATATCAAGTTCAATGATTAATTAATTTAAATGTTTTAGATAAAAACTACTGAATATTTATATTATTATTTTTTTTTTTTGCATTAAAACTTCGACTTTTTTCAACTAGGTGAAAAATAAAAATATGAAATATTTAATTAAAATACCTAATTATCGTTTTAAATAGGTTACATTTTAAAATAAGCTATAGACTTCCTATACATATACGTAAAGAACAAAATATTAAAAACAAGAATTGAAATATTTCATATAATTTTATTTTATTTTTTTTTAAATTTCGTTATAGAGAATAATTAATGTTTTGTATATTATTTGTGTTATATATTGAAAAAAAGACAGTTTCATATTAATTAATATTAAATTTGTCTTTGTATTAAATATACGTAGTGATCACAATTAAACACTGAGAAGCAATTTTTAATTTTAAGTTTGAAAGCCTAATTCTTAAAAACATTTATAATTGATTTCTACCACTCGAAGGTAGACACTTATCAAATATTACTTATGCTCGAAAAAATTATAGAATATAAGTTGACAATAATTTTTATATTATGGACTTTTTAGTCATTTTAATTTAAGTATATTGCGTAGTAAATGATTTACTTTATTTGAGAAAAAAAACTATAATTTTATTTGATTGTTTATATATATATCAATTGTTTATATATGTTATGTTATCTATGTTGTGTTGGAGTTATACATTTTATATTGTTGATCAATTTTCTAAAAATAAATTTATATTAACATTATAAAGAATATCATCTAAAAAGAAGTTAATTGATATTGCTGTTGTATTACAAGTTTTAATGGATCATATGTACTTATATGTCCACAATCATCTTATAAAATTAACAATCACCCAATAAGCAATATTATACTGACTAGGTTTCTATTTATAACTATAATTAATTTCATAACATATAATAGTCTGATATTATATTTTTCAATAAAAATACTTTTCCTATCAATTTAATAGTGAAAAAGTATTTCTGAAACTTTTTTAACCAATTTATTTATTTTTTTGAGTATTAAAAAATATTTACATTATTCATTTCATTTTGGCTTATTCTCTATCTTTTTCAAAAAAATAAAAAATAATTTCAGAACATATAAATTTTGGTGTAATGTTAAATTTATTTTAGTGAATAAATTCACTCATAAGGTTTAGTTTTATCAATATATTAATTTGGTAATGGAAAAGGTGTACAATTTGTATTTGTGCTACTATGTTTATACAAATCTTATTTATTTGATAATTTTTACGAATTTTCTTAGATAGATTATTTATTATATAACTTCAACACAAATTATTTTTAGTGTATCATTTTTAAAATCATAGTTGGTCTACATGACCCGAGCCCCGTCGTGGAAAGATTAGCCGAATAGTGAGAGAATAACTGAATCGTTTATAAGGTGTATTGCGTGGAGGTTCTTCCCTGACTTTTTGACTAATTTATATAATGTTGTGTTATCTATAGTTCATATGTAATGATGTTTATACATTTAATTACCTGTAAAATGACCTGTCACCCCAACTCAGAAATTTTTTTATTTATTTATACTAATAATTAATAGTATAAAAAAGCTCATTGGTATTAAATGTATACAATTTTACTTTAGATATTGCCATAAAAATAAAAATAACTTAACTTAGAATGATGTCAAAAATAAAACAGAAATATCAGGTTTTAAAAATATGTCAAGTTGAATTATTTTGTGGCACACCCTTTCTAACCCTATTTATTTATTTAAAAACAATATCGATTTAAGAAATATGTAATAATTCAAAGTTTAATGCTATACAATTAATAGAAAATAACAAATATAATTAGAATATTAATTTTAAAAATTCCGATGACTTCACCATTAAAGGTCTAAACGAATTTTTAAGGTTAGAAAACGTACATGTAACGCTTAAGTTTTTTTTCTATTTAACAATAAATTAAAATTATAATATATTATTAAGCTTGTTAAGAATAAGTCCGGTATTACATTTAATACTTACAGCTCATAATTAAAGTAAGTAGATAAAATTATATTATAGTTATTATGTATTAAATTTAAAATTTCGGTTACTAAATGAAAATTTCTTAACTCTTATTCTTAAATATATTTATAGACAAGTTAAGGAAAAAACGGATAAGAAAAAAAAGACACCTTAAAATTAATTATTATTGAATTTAATTTAGCGTTTCAAATTTACAAATATCCAAGGAATTAATAAGAATAGAAATTATAAGTACAACTAGTATTTTCTTTTTTTTTAGATAAAAATAAAACTTTATTTGCTTAATACAATTTGCTTCGTCAAGTATTAAAACTTTGAGAGATTAATGTTTTATTGTCAAATAACGTAGTAACTAGAAAATTGAAAAATTAAAAGTTTAGAAGAGTTATTGTCCTCTTGTCCTTCTTGTATTCATAACATAATATCCATGTAATAAATTATTTCTAACACTATTGCAGGTTGATTGGATTAGATAGTAATATTATTTCATTAGAGTAAGAATATTTTACTTAACTACTTTATAATCAATTTTCGTTGATTACTTTAAAAGTAATTACTAATAAAATAGACGGTGATTGAGAAGTTCTATTGATTAATGCTTTAATAAAAAAATAACTTATAGTGATTGCTTCTTATGCTTATGTATTAACTTATTAAAGAATAATTAATCAAAAATGGTTATTCACTTGCTAAATTAGTCCATAAATCATATCCTTTCTAATGCAATAATAATATTTAAATTTCTAATTAATACTCAAAAGTCACGTCCAAACACAAAGCTAGAAATTTAATTTTCGTACATTAAATATATTTTGAATTTAAAACAAATATGCACCATAGGATTTTTATTTAAATTTATTTGACAAGCATTTCTAACAAAAAAAATGTTTATATTTTTTTAATTAGGCTTAATGATCGAAGAATTTGAAATAGTTGACGCAAATTTGTGTTTGGTATAAAACTTTTATGGAGGGTTTTCGTGGAAAAAGTCACCAAATGTATACAATGTTCTACTGACAGTTTGAGCGTGGCCGTTGCGATGATGCGCTTAGACGACAAAAGGGACCATAACTGCTACCGAACCGACCAGTTGCTCTACGCGAACTATCGTTGCTTGTTGTTGTTTACCTTTGTGTTATACGTGCGTAATTTCATATGTGAAAAATTTAATTTTTCGCAGTAATTATGTATTAGTGTGTGTGTGTGTGTGTGTGTGTGCTACTTAGGCTGATAATACCTTATATTTATATTTAAACGGTAAGAATTTATCTAAGTTAAATACAAAGTAATTATTGAAAAAATACTTTTTTTAAGTATAAAAAATAATGAAGTTAAACTAGTTATTGTAGATATATTTTTTATTTATAATACAATGTATGTAATAACAATATTTTATAAAAAAACTAAAATAGATATAAAAAATATCAATTTTCAGTTAAGAATACCAATTTCTTATGACAATACATAGTCGAAGGAATGAAATCAGTTTATACCATAGAAATACTAGAAAATATAACTATTCTCAACGCAATATAACAGAAGACAAACCTAAGTGTTCTAAAATTTAATATCCGTCATGTTCCAGTAATGTTCGTTAATGATTTTAGTTTATTAAATATAAAAAAAAGTTTGAAAAAAGTTTTGAGAAACTATGAAATTTGAATTAATTCTAATAGTATTAATAACAATGATTATTATAAAAATCTAAAAGATATTTTATCTAATTCAATATCATTTAAACGAAAGTATAATTTGACATAATGATATCTGTTTTAATGACTAATGATAACATTAACACTCAAAACAAATAAATGAAGTTTTTACTTTACACAAACAGTTTTACATAACAAGTGTATGTCTTTTTTTATAATTGATTTACTCTCATTTTTAGTTAATTCGATTACTCTAAAATTTAGATAAAAATATCATAATGTAAATAAGGAAAAAAAAATCATTACAAATAAAAATGAACATAGAAACTTTGTTATAGTGAAAATATCCTAAAAGTTTCTACAACCCTTTGATAGTTTCTTACTATATACTTTTAGCTACATTAGAAATAAGTAATTCTTATAAAACTAAATTTTATAAGAAAATTTCAAAATACATTACATATTGTTTTGCATTCATTCTTTCTATAATAATAACTACTACATCCAAAGTATTAAAGTATAGGTTAAAAAAACATTTCTATTGCATACTATATAAAAGAAAAAACTATATTTTTCTTGTAAAATAAATTTATGCTTTGCCAGTTGTGCATAAATTAGATTACTTAGAATAAATTTAAAAATTATATTATTTGTTAGATATTGTGAAATATTTTTTATACAACTATAATTTACACAAAAAAATTTTACAAATAATTTATGCATATTAAATAGAATGGTCGTATTGACGAGGGTATGAGCCTTAGGTTTAAGTTCTAAAGGCTAAAAAGTAAGTTTTGTAGGATTATGGTGAGACCAACATGTTGCATGAGTTAGAGTGTTTGGTAGTTGATAAAAAAAAGGCATCTAAACATTTTCATGTTTTGGAGTAACGAGAGAAGATAAGATATGGAATGCATATGAAAGCATAGGAATAGCGTCAAAGATGAGAAAAAATAGGCTTTGATGGTTTGATCATATTATGAAGAAGAGTAATCGGAAGCTGTAAGAATGGTTATAAAAATTAATGTTGAAGGAACAAAAGAGAAAAGAAGTTCGAAAAATATTGGTTGCCTGTTATTAGGTGTGATACGAGGACTGCTAGAGTGTATAAATGATATGGATGATCTCGTGTTAAGTAGAGGTTTAGGATACGGGTCCCAAGTAGTGAAGATAAATGCAAGAATGAAAAAGAAGACTTATATAAAATAAAATAATATAATAAATACAACCATTCAAATTAATAATTAGGTAAATCTAATAATACTAGTAATAACACATAGTACTCTTTTAATTGATTTTTTTTTTCAAATTATTTTTAGTAAAATAAAATTTATCAAAATTATTATTTAATTATTAATTAAATATATATTTTTAGCTGCTAACTGTTGATATCAAAATACAAGTTTTGATTTCATTAAAACAATTAACAGCATTTTTCAAAAGTAACTTCAGATAAAAGAAACTAAGTACACGTTGAAACTTATCTTTCGATAAATTCCCGCAGATATAGACTATGTATAATAAAATTCATCTTATACTAAATTAAAAATGGAAAATTTCTGACTGAGGTATTTTATGAAAACTTTAAACATTGTTGATTTAACAAATACAACAAAGAATACTGATTTAAATCCAAAATATTTTAAGAATTGAATAAATACATAATAATTTATATATATATATATATAGAAAATTCGGCCCACAAATATAATTGTGAATTTTAAACGTTACTTTAAATAGTTTTCCAAAATCAAATGGACCACTAAAATCAAAAACACTTAAAATATATATAGTAATATTTATGATTATAGATCACAGTCTTAAACAAACAACGACGTTAATGGTAGTCGAACAAAATTTATGAGATTGGCGATAATATTGTGCTAACTATTCCAACCGTCTATATGTAGATGAGTAAGCGGAATAAACGACTACAATTAACTTTTTGTGATTTTCTGATTTACACTTTTGAAAAAGTTTCATCAATTTCTGTTTAAATTTCCTCATTAATTCTAAATAAAACTTTTGAATAAAATCTGAATATTTATACTTATAATATAAATACAATATATATTTCCATTGAAATCTGTTGAATCGTAATCATGTTGGTTAAAACTGTAAAAGATAATTTTTTGGTATTTATTTGAAATTTTAACAACATAAACAAATAAATTACATTAGACTACTCTAGTATTTATTTTTTTAAAGTGAATCACGTACTAAACGTTTGATGTTTACAGTCATTGAGAAAATACAAATAATGGAGATCTAGATGAATTCATTGTTTTATCATGTATATTTCATCTAATATATGGAAATATGTTATTTAGGTTTATTTTCCGTGTAATTTAATTTTGAATCGATAAATACAAACACTATGATGGTATTCTTAAGGTAACAATAACAAATACATCATCGAGTTAAATTAATTATTTTGGGTTATATGAAATAACAAACCTAATTCAAATTCCATCTCTTCAATAAGAGATGGTCATCATGTTACAATACAATGTTTGATTTGCAAACTTAAATTAATTCACTTAACAAAACTCAACACTAAAAGTCATCATTAATAATTGATTAATGCACTATAATTTAATGAAAAATTATTATAAAACAAGATTTACGAAAAGAATTTTATTTTATCATTTGGAAATTATTTATTTCACATGGGCGTGCATCGTCAATTTTTAATACACCAATATTGATTTTAAATTAAGTTATCCAAAAGCAGAAAAGTTACAAATCGAGTCAATGTATTGAGAGTAGTTTATAATCTTTAATAATTGCTAAAACCTACATGCATGTAGAAACTTAAAAGTATATACAAAATTATATATCGTTTAGTTAACAATAATTACTCCTAAACATTAGTGTTTGTTAAAAACAACTTGAATTTATTGATTTTTTGCGCGCTAATTACTATAATAGACGATAATTTTAATTTAACATGTAGCAGACTATTTTTCCACGTATAAAACAATCATAAATGATGTTTTATTACTAAGTGTAGTAAACATCAAACTATTGTTACAGATGCGGCATTGTCATAAACGATCAATGACGACGGGTCGGGAGCGTTAATTTTACTGGTTCCCCTCACACCCATTCGGTTAATTCAGTCGACGGATTTGTTTTGCTCTTAATCCGTTTATGGTCATAATACGTTATAGACAACTACAATGTATTAATGGACTATAAACTTTTAAAATACAATATGAGTAATGAATGCTTTTATAACCTTTTACCTTTGACAACACTAACAAACAAAAATCTTGAGGTGCAATTTTATGATTTACATTCATTAAAAACATCAGTTAATTAGATAATCTCCATTGTTAACTATTTTAAGATTTTTTTCGAAAATATCAATCAGTTTAACCTTATGCATAAGTTGAGCAAAATTTTAGAGGAAGAACAAATTTATTTTTGAATTAAAATCTTTTATTTTTTTAACTGTACAAAATTTCAACCAGTTTTTTTGGTCATTAATTTGGTCAAACCATTTTTTTGTTATAACATGATAATGTTTCAGGTTCTACTCTTTAGTAGCTACAACAAAAATTTTACATATTTATCATAATAAACCCAATCTAAGTATAAAAACAAAAATGAAAGACTGGCAAATTTGACAATGAGTATATCATTAAATTTGTTTGTTACTGGATGATATAAAACGGTTGGATTGGGTTTATGTGAAGTATCATTTTTAGCATTAAACCAGTTTCGAGTAGTATTATAAGAAAAAATTGCTTGTTAAAAAAATTTAGTTAAAAACTCTTGTTCTGACATAAATACATTTCATACATACCTAGTGATGTGACGAATTCTAGTTATTTATGTCGAACTAGGTTAATTAGTGTAGTAGGTAAACAAAAAAAAAACTATTTGGATTAATTTCATGTTATCCATTTATTTTATTAATATTTGTGTAAAGTAAATATTTCATTTTCGTGATATCATAATTTTGTATATTAAATTAATTAGATACCTGACAGAATTTATATAACGAAGAGATCTTATAATAACACTATAACTCACTAGTGAAGACATTATTTATTTAGCGAAAATACCTCAAATATTTGTGACGAGACACAGAAATTGATTTTTACTTTTGAATTATGAACTTGCCGACATAATAAAGTAATGAGTTGGAAAACATCAATATGTAGACGCAACTCACTGGGCTTTACAATCTTATATTGTGTGAATTGTATAAAATTATGTGTCATACGTTTGTAAAGTAAAACATGAAATGTAAATATTTTATTTTCAAGTGTAAAAGACGAGAAGCACTTACGTTTTCCTCTTGTATACCATTTTTTTAGGGCGAACAAAGAGATAGTTCAAGTGATATAGTGGATTATATTCATGTCTGTATGATTCATACATGTATATAGTAAAAATAGAAAAATAACAATACTTACAAATATCAAAAGGACAGACCACACTAAACAGATTTTTTTAAGAGAATAAGAAATATTAGATATAATTTTATAGACTGCATTTATTAAATATTTAATAAAATCAATAAATTAAAAAAATATAAATAAATCTAACAATATAATGTAAAACAAATCCAAAAACGATAAAAATGTTATTGTA